ACATTTTTTTTTGGCCAACCACAACCACATACATTAAAACACACCATCACATTCATGTTTAAAAGTAAAATAAAGAATTCAACATAAATTAGTTAAAAAAGTATAGTTCTTTTTTTAATATAAAAAACGCCATCGAAATTGTAAGGAAATAGCCAACAAAAATTTTATAAAAGAATTAAGAAAATTAGATTCAATTTTGATTATTTTTACCTTGATAACTTTAATAACGTAATGTAGTTCGTCAATTCAACTCCTCATGCATAAAAACATAATGTTTTGTAAACAAGTGCATCATTTCACATAAATAATAACTAATTTATTTTTCTCTAATTTCGTTTGATTTTGTTAATCTGAAAAAAATGAGAGACAATATATGTATCTTACCATAGTAACTCCAATTTAAATGGGGTTTTGTAAAAGAAGAATAATAAAGGTTTAAGTTGATTACTTGGTGCAATATAACCAATTGTAGATATTGTCTCAATGTGCATCTTAGATTTCCCTTTATCTAAAAATTTGGCAATTCCAAAGTTACTCACATGGGCGACCACATGATCATCCAACAAAATGTTACTTACTTTCAAATCACAATGGACTACCAATGTTGACAAGCCATGATGCAGGTATTCTAAAGTAGATGCTACATTTATCATTATATTCAACCTTTGTAGAAAATCCAAATGATAGTTATCAAAATATAACCATTTTTCAAGGCTTCTATTGGAAATGAACTCGATTATCAAACACTTTAAATCAGCATTGGAACAACTACTAATGATCTTCATCAGATTGCGATGGTGCAAATTATGCATTGCATTGCATTCTACCTCAAAGCTCTTTAACAATGCTTCTCAGTCAAAATTGAATATTTTAACAGCAACCATTATTCCACTTGAAAGTTTTCATTTGAACACAGAACCAAAACTTTTCCCTCCAAGTAAGTTACTCTGATCAAATCTATGAGTTACATCCAAAATTTCAAAATAAGAAATCTTGGCATTCCTAAAGTAGATAAAGCTTTTTTAATGGTATGCCTAGAATTTATTTGCTTTTGTTGAAAGAGGACAATGGCTGTAGCAATTAAAGCTGTTGACAAAGCCATTGGCAATACACATTTCAACAAAATCAATTTTTCCTTTGACCTTTTACTTGTTCCTTTTTTGGATGGAGGAACTTGCATTTGTGGCTTATCACAAAGTGCTTTATTCATCATGAAAGATTCAAATGTTAAATTTTTGAAGACTCCACCACTTGGAATCTCACCTTGTAGTTCATTAAAAGAGAGATTTACGTACACAAGTGATATAAGTGACTCTAGAGATTTAGGAATCTCACCAAACAATTGATTTTGGGAAAGGTCTAACTTTACTAAGCTTAGTAAATTCCCAAGTGATTCAAGGATCTTCCCATGCAATTTGTTATGTGCCAATGAGAGAATTTGTAAATTTTGCAAGCCACCTATGGTTGATGGAATGATGCTTGATATACGATTTCTTGACAAATCCAATGATATAAGTTCTTTTAAGTTACTGATCTTGAATGATAGATTTCCAACTAAAACATTGGAAGATAGGTTTACTTCCAATATACCAGTTAGATTCCAAAAGGAAGAAGGTATCTTAGAAATCAACTTATTGGAGTCCAAGTAAAGTTTTTGCAAGGACATAAGATTTCCTAAGCAAGGTGGCATTACTCCAGAAAACTTGTTTCGAGATAAATGTAGACAGACAAGTCTTCTAATTTCACAAAGCTCGTCAACAATCAAGCCATCTAGCTCATTGCCTTCAAGATTCAAATCCTGGAGAGCCTGTATGTTGCTAATTGTTTTTGGTATTGATCCATTTAAAAAATTTTCAGCCAATGATAGCTGGAACAAGTTAGACATATTCCCAATTTCTAATGGTATGTTACCATTAATCCTACACAAGTCTATAAGTAGCACCTGTAGAGAATCACAAGTTTCCAATGGACTTGGAAAGTTTCATATGCAGTGGATTCATTGTGTAATGACCCAAAATTTTAAATTTACTAAAATATTTCTCCAATAGATATTTTATTTGAATAATTTTATAACAAATAGAGAAAATGGTAGTTTAGTGGAATTTGTGCTAGTTAATATTTATGAAGAGTAAGAGTTTAAATTCTACCAAGTAAAAGCTAGATTTTATTTATTTTTAAGCTAAAAAAAATTTGGGCCTTCTTTTATAATTTTTGGTGGTCTCTCTTGTAATTTTTCTTATGTTATTTCTTGTAATTTTTCGCAATCTTCTTAATCTTCAGATTTTTATATCCTTCTTCTCGATCATTCGAGCATCAGAACAGAGCTGCGAGAGAGAGAGAGTGTGTGTGCGTGCGCGTCTCCGAATCCTTCCTTCCATCTCACCGTCGGTTTGCACCTCTGGACCTCGCCGTCGTTCTTCAATCTCCCTTCACGGCCGGCAGCTTGGCTTCTTTCCTTTTCTTCTCTTGTTCATCTGCGCTAAGGTGAGTGGTTTATCTCTTTCTGTTCTTCTCTGTTTTTTTCCTTTGTTCGCTCGTTCAGTGGAGCTGTGGTTGAAGCTCTTCCTTTGTCGCCCTTCCCTTCTACTCTTGTTGTGACTTGTTCGGTTCTTCTCCATTGAAGATCTGCTGAGAATGGGCGCTGATTCTCATCCCCTGTTTCTGGTTGCTGTCATATTGTGTTCCATGGCTAGTGTGGGGTGAACGTGTGCTTGGTTGTTGTCTCTTCTTCCTCCTTAGCTGCTGGAAGTGGCACGAGTGTTTATGGTAGGAGTGATTCTCTCTTTTGCTGTCAACGGTTCTTGCTCTCTTCTAAGTGGTGGCTGTCATAATTGTTAGAAAGGGTGATTAAAATTTTATTTAAGTGTTCCAGGTGGGTTTTGTTGAAAAAAAAAATAAAATAAATTAATTTCTTTATTGGGTAAATTGGTGAGGGAAGAAGATTGTCAAATGAATATGCATGTATGTGTGTTAGAATTTCTAGTTGAAGTTCCGAAACGTGGTTGCTGCCAAGTATAACTTAAATGGTTGATTTGGGATTTAATTTGAGATATTTTGTGCTCTTGATGATACTTAAGGATTGTATGGAAGTTTGATTTAGGAATTAAATGGTGAGGATAAGAGGTTGGGATGGATGGGAATTAGTTATGTGATGAGCAAATAGGAATGCTCTATAGATATTTGTTTGCATGCTTAAAAGAATGGTAAGGTTAAATAATTGATATGGTTAAATTTGAGCGTATTGATAGGAAAGGAGAAATTTATGTTTTGGGGTTAAGAGCTTATATTGTTGATGAGGAGGCTTAAGAAATTATATTTGAATGAAATGGTGTGAAAGTTAGTTTTAAATTAAAATATTCATTTTTAGATTCGGCTTGGAAATTACTTGGTAAGTGACTTTAGGATTATGATTTATTTGTCAGGAAATTAAGGGCATCGTTAGGATTAAGTGAAGTTGAGAGAAGTAAGTTTAAAATGCTTGGGAATCTCTCAGGTGAGTGAGTGCGTCCCAATTATTTTAATTTTTTAAAAATATCTTTATTTAATACTTTGTTTAAGTATTTGCTATTATTCTCTCTATAATATATATAGTTCTCTCTATTTATCTTATTTTTATTCAATTGAGATTTTATTAAAATTATTCTATTTTATCAAGAAGTTATGCTATTATATCTAATATGTAATAAATTGGTTATTTATTCAAATTAATTCTATTGTTCAAATGTTATATTTGATTTAAAATCTGTTTTAAGGTGACTCGTGCATGGAACAAAAAAATGTTAAAAATGAAAGTTGACAGTTGAATCTTACATTTTGAAAAGAATGATTTCAAAGTGAATTTTTAGATCCATGCACGCTTGATTTTGATCAAGGGGACTAAGTTCAGAATACTGGTTGCTGACGGCAGTTCCGTTAGCCCTTGGTGCGCCATGGTACACCTAGCTAGCAGGGTGCTTGTAGGAGGTACTAGCCCCATGCGCAGGCCAACACACGTGGAATGGAGGGATGGATATTCGTGAGCATCGTACTCACGCTTGTTTCGTGGGCTTCATGCCTGCGCTTGTTTCACGGTTTCTAACCGTGCTTGATTATTTCGTGGCTTTAAGTCGCGCTTGTTGGTTATTTACCCTCATGGACTGTGTGTCCACGCTTGTTAATCGTTCTGATTAAGTCCCGTTAAAGAAGGAATTTTAAAATTGGTTTTCTTTAAATTTGATCTCTGAAAGCAAATTTCTATTTTTACTTTATATAAATTTTATATTGAAGGATATATCCCAAGAAGTTTAAGTATGTGTAAAAATTTATAAAAAAAATAGAAGGAAATGAAATTTAAACTTTTAATAATTTTTATTTCGATTTATATGTTCATGGGTTATGCATTTACCTAGTTATTGATTCATTGATATACTTTTCATTGTTTTCTTTAACTATAAATTGGGGCGTTATTCACCGAAAAAATTTCTTTGGTCTCAGATATTATAATTGACCCTGCACCTTCGACTGAACATTGAGGGGCTATATTACCTTTGGAACTATGGAAGCATAAGGTAGTTACCTTGAATGTAAATATATTTTATATTAGGAAAATTTTAGTTTAGCGCTCCACGTATACTATAGTTAGGTCTTAGTTTTATTTTGTTAATATATAATCTATTGGTGTGGGGCTAGTCTCCTTTTCTGGATTGGCTGACAGGTTTTCCTATTGTGAAAATTTTAGGAGGTCCAACTTATAGGGGAAACTCTATCGAAATTTCTATAAGATATTTAAGATTTTACAAATTTCATAGTTATATACATAAACTAAATATTGATATTTTAGCTTAATATTTTAGTAGTCAAGGCTTATGGAATGAGTTTAACTAATATTTCATGCCAGTCATACTCTTAGTACTGGGGTGTGACACATTAAGAGAATTAAACATTTCAAATGTTTACAATTTGACAATGAGTTGAAAAAGCCAGTTTCAGAATTGGAAGTATCTATAATGGTAACATTATTCTCACTTACTGAAAGGGTTTCTGAGTATCTTAAATGCCCAAGTGTGTGTTGGTAAAACCCCTTCAAAATTATTGTCCTCCAATTCTAGAGTGTTTAGCTTGGAAGCATTGGATATAGTATTTGGGATTTTTCCAGAAAGTTTGTTGCCCCATAAGTAAAGCTGTTGTAGATTAGAAAGGCCAAATCCAAAATTTGATGGAAGACTTCCTGATAGAGAATTGTTTGAGAGAGACAAGACCTTCAAAGTTGACATGTTGAAAATTTCTGACGGAATAAACCCTCTCAATTTGTTTTGAGACAATTCTAATATCTCAAGCTGTTGAATATTACCAATTTCCATAGGTATTGATCCTAGAATACAAATATTAATTGAAGTATCAAAGAAAGTTAATATATAAAGAAAATTATAAATGTCTAACTACTTATATTTATCCACCACTTAAACATAAAATTTTGGACAAATTTGTGATGGATTTGGGCCTTTGCAATAAACTTAGTACGGTTTGATCCCCACTAACTTAGTGGTCACAAATATAATTTCACATTTTTTATGTCTAAAATAAACCCTCTTGTAGGTATTTTTTTTTAGTAGTGGATGATGAGTTTTTAGCTTGCTGGCTTGAGCTTCTAAAGTTATTTTTTGATGTATACTATTACAAACCTAAATAGTTAGTTAAATCATGGTTTTAACAATTGGACCACACCAGCCAGTTAGACGTGAACTAGTTTGTGGTCTAATCTAGCATAAACCATTAAATCTTATGTGTAGTGAACTAGTAAAAAATTTGTCAACAAATTGGGGAACAAGAAAAAACATGTTGGTTGGTTGATTCACCGGTTCAAGTAGCAAATCTAAACGAAAAAAGAATAGTTGGGGAGAGGTTTGGAGAGAAGTTGAAAATCATGATGGGAATGAAAATGCATGGTTCAAAGAAAAAAATTAAGAAAAGAAGTCATTATACAGTATAAAATATCACATTAAAAGAAAATGATGGTAGTACATTATATTTTGGTGAAAATGTACCTTCTAAATTGTTGCTATAAAGATCCAACTGTTGAAGCAGAGTCAAGTTTCCAATGCCTCCTGGTATGGGGCCAGATAGCTTATTAACCCTTAGGCTCATCATCTTCAAATTTACAAGACTTATAATTTCATTGGGAATATTTCCTGCAAATTAGAAAAAAAATTAACAATGCATCATTGTAAGTAAAATGAGCAACACTTAAATTTGTGGCAACGCTTACTTTCTATGTTGTTTGAAGTTATTGTATGTTTTAAAGTTAGTGGCAGAAAATAAAAAAAAAAGATTATATATGTCTAAAGCATGATTGTCCTCATATATATACATATATACATATATATTCAAAAGTTGAGCAAACACTTAAAATCATAAATAAAATTATGATATATATATATATATATATATTGTTCTATGTTTTGAAAACAATTTATTCTATATTCGCCTAGTTTTATTTTCTGTATTTTGATGAATTATATTTCTTGATAAATTAACAAGTTTAATAAGGGGCAGCGGTTTTTTTTTTTTAACTTTTCATAAAAAAATTTACTTTTTAAATAATAAGAAGCTTGTTTAAATGATAATAAAGGATAATTCCCATTAATTATATATGGTTTTGAATTGCCACGTACCAATCCCAAAGTATAATGTGCAGTTGAAATGTATTTTTAATTAAGAAATTTAAGTTGGTGAATATTTGATAGTCTGTTAAATTTGTAGTACAAGTTGTGAAGTGTGGGTCATAATCTAAATAATAAAATAAAATAATAGTCAATTTTCCAATTCCTTGAGTATATGTATATATTCATTATACCTGTTTAAGGTTAATTAATGCTCAGAAACTTTTTATCATCATTTGTGTTTATAAATTTTGGATTTGAGAGAATCTCTATGCTTATTGTAAAGAAATAATTCCTTCTGCAATGTGGTAAAAAAAAAAGAAGTAACTATATTGCTCATGCATAAAATATCATATTAACAGATAATTAAGCAGAACTAGCCTTTATTTTGATAAAAGTATTTATATACCTTCTAAGTTATTGTTGTCCAGAAATAACTTTTGAAGCCGAGTGAACTTGCCAATGCCTCTTGGTATATGACCAGACAACTGATTAGCACTTACGTATATGCAACTCACCTTTGTAAGATTGCTTATTTCATTCGGAATATTTCCTGCAATATTACAACACAATAAAATCACAATGCTGTGAATTTTGTTGCATAAAATTAAACATTCTAATTCCACACCTCTCACCTCCCACAATTTTACTTTTATTTTTCGGAAACAAATTTGATATAATCTGTTGAGTTTATACACACACACAGAGACACACATGGTTTAATAATTTTGCAAAGAATAATTTTAATTTAAAAACATAAAATATAATGAACTCCTATGAATTTATTTTATGATTTTGAAGAATCCTTGTAGAAAGAAGTTATGAAATTAAAGTTGGAGATTTAATTTGGGGTCCATTTGCTTGATCTTCCTTTTACGAGATGATCACTTATTTTTTTTAAAAAAATTATTTTGTGAATTTTTATTATATTTGTTTAAACTTTTGAAAATAATAAAAAATCTAAAAAAACATATTTCTAAGTTCTGACTAATTTGAAAAGCTACTTTGAATAGTTTCTGGAAAGGAAAAATTTTATATACTTAGCTTTATATATTATGGTGATTGTTTCCAATTAAATCAAGACATGTTTATTGTTTATATATTATTTATTCCACAATAATTTTTTGTTATTGATATTACTAGCACACTAAATTCCACTTGTTTTGATTTGATTGGATGCAAGTACTATACATTAAGTATATAAGGTTAAGCACCTAAGTCTTACCCTTTTAAAATAACTAAAAATAATTTATTTATGAAGAGAAATCCATGAAGGTATCATAAAATATAAAAATAATTAAATAATAATCACTTTTCATTACTGTAGCCAAACATAAAATAATATATGCTTTGTAAAAAATCTCTACAACATATATCTCTTTTTTTAAAAAATCTAAACAATATAAAACTCACTTATTTTTTAAATCATAAACAAATTGGTGCTTGATTTATTTTGTAGTATAGATTATGAAAATATGTTGTCTCCTAAATATAACCATTGAAATCATCAACTTGACATACATTTGAAGGGATGCTTCTCCAAAAATTATGGTCACTCAAAAAAGTTGTTTCTAATGATTCCCATTAAAAAAATAAAGGAAGAATTATGTATAAGTTTCATAGAACAGACTTATTTACAATAAGTCTGCAAAATTTAAAAATTATAGCTAGGTCCCTTGAAATTTGAGTATAATTTGAAACTAAGGTGCAAAGACAATAATGTTCCTATTAAAAATACATTACATCAATCAAATAATTACAATTACATCATCAGTAATTTATAACTATCACTTCAACTTTTTACAATTGTAATTTCACATATCTAATAGTTAAAACTAATCATGCATTGCAAGTTTAATACTAATTTTATACAATTACCTCATCAGTTATTTACAACTATCACATCAACATTATACAACTATAACTTCACATATCTATACATTACTAACAATGTTTAATATTAATTGTTTACAACATTTCATCAATAATTTACAACTAGTACTTCAACTTTTTGCAACTATCACTTTACATATTTAATAATTAAACTGATTATGCATTACAAGTATAAGGGTATTATTATATGTGCACCGTAATTTCAGATTTCAATTAGATCCCAAGGGACCTGGCTATAGTTTCTAAATTATATGGGACCTATTTGTAAATAAGTATTCTTCAAAGGACCTATACGTAATTGTCCCGAAAAGAAAAGCCAACGATAGTAAAAAAAAATTATTATTCATTAAAAATGTACCTTGGAGGCTATTGCTTGCAAGATATAAATTTTCAAGCATGAACAAATTTCCAATGCTTGGTATTTGCCCTGACAACTTATTCATACCCATGTACATATTTTTCAGATTTGTAAGCTTATTCACTTCTTTGGGAATATGTCCTGCAATATAGCCAAAAAATAACCTTGTACTTTTTTCGTGAGTGCTTATATAAAAAATAGTATTAAACGAAAGAGTAAGACATATAATTCTGGGAATACATTATTGTTGTATCTCATACATGCATTCAATAATTTGATCTCCAGTCAATATTACCAACCAGATAATATACAGATGTACATGCATCAACTTATGACAATTGAAAAGTACAAAAGGAATTCCAAAAATTGTAGCGTAATAAAAAAGTGCCTTGCTGAAAGAGAATTCCCAATAACATTTAATTAAATTGTCTTCTTAAACAAATTTTTTTTTGTCAGAGATAACTCATTGAGGGAATAATTTTTAAAGAATAGTCAAATTTGTTCTGGCGATGATAGCTTAATTATAGAGGTATATATAGTTAATTTGTTTCCTGTAATTGTAAAATGTTTGAGAATTTTCGATTCAAGGTCTAACTTTGAAAAGGCATAGTAAATAGCACACCCCAAGTTAGATTGACATCAAGTATAAGACTAATATAAACGCTTATAAAAAAATTTATAAATTCATCAATTTTGAAATTGAATAAATGTTTATATCACGTATATATTATACAAGACATACCTTCTAAGAAGTTGACAGACAATGAGATGTGTTCAAGTGATGATAAGTTAGAGATAGTTGGAGGTATACTTCCTGAAAGCATGTTTCTGGAAATGCATAAAACTTTTAGGTGTTGTAGTCTTCCAATATCCAACGGAATAGATCCGTTGATAGAATTAGACTTCAAATCCAAGGTCTCCAACTTAGACAAATTGGATATGCTTGGAGGAATGAGACCTCCAAAACTATTATTGCCAAGACTCAAGTGTTGAAGCATAAACAAGCTTCCAATCCAACTCGAAATTTCTCCACTAAAAGTATTATAACTCAAGTTTAGAATTTCCAATTTGCTTAATTGAAGCAACTCTTTTGGCAGCCCACCATGAAAGTTGTTGCTTTGTAGTTCAAGTTTTTTTAGGAAGGACAGATTTCCAATTTGTGAGGGTAAGGTGCCCTCAAGACCCAGATCAGGAAGACTCAGGATTCTCACTCTCTCATTGTTAGGATCACAAGTGACTCCAAACCAGTTGCAAAAGGAAGATGATGAGTTGGACCAATTTTTCAAGTGATTATAAGGGTCCCTAATAGAAGATTTGAAAGCAAGAAGTGTCAATCCATCAAGGGTAAAATTGGAATGACATAAAGATGGGCAAACCATGAGACAGAGCATGGAGAAAATGGAGGAGGAGAAATGAAAGCAAAGATTTCCCATGTTGGATAGGCTCAAAGCTTCTTAGCTAGGTTGAAGAAAAAGAAGAAGAAAGCTTCACTATATATAATCTGAGAGTGATTAGCTGATCAGCTCGGTAATAAGAGTAAGGATAATAATGTAATTAATTGTTATAGCCTATGATAGCTAATTATGAAGAACTAAATAAAATGCAAAAGGTTGTTTGAAATGGAAAATAATGAAGAAATTTTAACTATCATAGGTGGTTAGACTTTCAATGATGACTTTTTATAATTACTGCTGAAAGTCTCTCTTTCTTTTCCTAGTGGCTTCACAAGGAGAAGAAAGCTTTGATCACCACTGAAATGAGAGTAATGATATTGATGAATTTACTTGACCAATATTAGTCTAAAATAGCTAATTATAATGAATAAAATAATATGCAAAAGCTATTTTGCAATGGAGAAAAATAGTAGGAAATGTTAGAATATTGGTGGATTTACTTGACCCAAAACCTTAAAAAGTAGAGCCCATTCAAATTTTCCGATTATAAAAATTAGCACCATTGATTTAATGCTAATATATGTTGCAAACTTCAATCGCATGCCTATGAAAAATATTATTCATAAATAAAGATCAATACAAAATGCATTATTATTAAAATAGAAATTTAAACTTGTTTTTTTCCTTAATGGTCACTTGTTAATGATCCTTATCTAAGAATAACATTGTTCACAAGTCTTTAGATGCGATTCTCTCTGTTTTTTAATTAATTACACTTGAGATTATAACAAGTTGGCGCCTAATTTGTATTGAATCCAATATTTTAAATAAATTATAAAACAAAAGCCTATCAAAAGCTTGACTTAGTAATTTTACCCAAAACAAAAGCTTGACTTAGACATGTCATAAGAAAAAAAAGCTTGACTTAGACAGCTGAGAAATTACTAAGAAGATAGCTTTGTGGAAAAAAATAGAAAAGCAGTTGTGACTTGCATTCATCAATGAAATTTTGCATTAGAAAAGGAATAGTGGTGGGGTCTGCAATAATAATGTTGTTTAGAATTTCTCTTTTTTAGGGTAACTCTGTCTCTATTTTAAAATTTTTCTTTGTCACTATTCATTGCGGCAGTGTACTGTTTGAGAGATCACATCAAGTAATAAAATTTTTAAATGATGTTATTAAATTTTCATATTTTTATAAACAAATTTTATAGGGAAATGATACCTAGATCCTAAAATCCTAAAAGATCAACTAAAATATAGTTAAACTTATAAAATTTTAATGAAATATGATTTTGGTGAAGTTGTATATCAATAATTCTCATTCTCATCCATACGTTGTTACCTTAATTTTCAAGGTCAAGGAAAAAAAAGAAAGAAAGTTGAAAGCAGCTAACTGTTGGCCTAAAAAAATTTAAAAATGAAGAAAAAAATGCAAAATATTCAAATTCTTGCCTTGAATCAAATATTAGCTTTTTTTTTTGTCCTGACCATCACCGGAAAGAAAAAACATAAGAAATCAAATTGGAGATTTTTTTTTTAATTGTATACATGTATCTTTTTTTAATTGTTTTCTTCATAATCTTACTATCAATACTTTTGTTATTCTTATCTCTTTACTCATATCTTGTTCTTGTCTCTCATCAATTTAAGAATAAAATTACGATAATTTTGTCACTCTCAATATTTTTTTTAGCCTCAAACCTTTGTAAACAGTTTTGAGCCTAAATGCCTGTTCTGTCTTAGTGAGCCCACGAGACTTGACCCACTTAAATTTCTTGTTATAAAAAAATTAAATTCCAAATATATGCTAGAAAAGAAGAGATTTTTTAGTCTCTACCATGAGGGACTAAGAAAAATTGGGAGGCCATTTTATCTTTTCCCTACCCTTTAAGTCAAGTCTATGCATCCGTTTAATTTTTTTTTTGTGGAAAAATGGCACGATATAATTATGTTGAGTATTTAGAATACGAACAGTTGAATAAACCAACTAAAGTTGGTGAGTGGTAGTGACCTTCAGTATCTCGAAAAAGATAATCTCTATTGTCAGAGGAGCTTACTTAAAAAAAAAAAAGAATTAATCAATAAGTTTTTCAAGGGATTCAATTCATGATTTTACTTTTAAATCAGTATAATAAAAAAAAAGAATATAGTTCAATAAGTTTTTCAAGGGATTCAATTCATAATTTTATTTTGGGTAAAGGTATAAATTTGGCCATTACTATTTTTCTAGGAGCACTTGGTAGCCTATATTATGAGGTGGTACGAAAAGAATTCTCAACTTTAAAAAATGAAGCATTCAGTGCCCACCATTAATTTTAGCTTCCCACGTGGGACCCACGAAATTTTGACTAAAAATAACATGACACTCCACCTCAACATAGGATAAAGGTGCAAATTTAGCCATGAATTATTTTTTTAAAAAGCACTAGGTAACCTCTACTATTGGGTGGTGCGCCTCTGTCAATTTTGACCAAATATTTTTTATTTTAGACTTACGAGATCTATAATGCGTCAATCTCTCCAATTTTCTTGCCTTCATTCTCTATTTCAACTCGAGAAGAAGAGACTCAAAGAGTTCATATATAAAAACATTTGCGAGGACGATGCCAACAAAGTAGAAGAAGAGTAACAAGACAAGGTTTCACTTAAATCTCTATGACAATTCCAGCGAATTAGTAATTTGAATTGTGATGCTATTACGCATGGGAGGAGCTTTATTCAAGCTTAATTTAGCCATGAATTATTTTTACACTTGTAGTAGCATCACAAATTTAGCCATGAATTATTTTTATAGAAAATGAAGCATGATTGAATCAAGCTTCTCCTTCCACACGTAGTAGCATCACAATTCAAACTGCTACTTCAGTTGAATTGCCATAGAGATTTAAATAAAATCTTGTCTTCTTCCTCTTCTTCTACTTCATTGGTGTCATTCTCATGAATCTCTTCATATAAGAATTCTTTGAGCCTCTTTTTCTTGAGCTGAGACTGAGAATAAAGACAAAAAGATTTAAGAGATTGACATGTTTATGGGTCACATAAGTTTGAAAATAAAAGATATTTGGTCAAAATTGACGGAAAGGTGTTGGGAGGTCCATTTTTCATATTTGATAATTTTCTTTGCACTATCCAAATTGTAGAAGCTACTTATTGCTCCTTGAGTTCATAGCTAAATTTACAACTTTAACCTATGTTGAGGTGGAGTGCCATGTGTCATTTTTCAGTCATAATTTTGCGGGCCCACATGGGTGCTGGATGCTCCTTTTTTCAAAGTTGAAAATTTATTTCGCACCACCTCATAGTATAGGCTAAATTTACACCTTTACCCTTTCATTTTTAAATTAGCGTAATCAATATTGTTCTCATTATATGCATTTCTGTTCACTTAGCATAATTTTGGATTTTCAATGTAATTGTGTGCGTGTCCCTTTATCAGCAACAGTTAAAATCAAACTAATGAAATTCAATGAATTTAGATGTTACTCTCTCTTTTCACTAATCAATAAGATGGCCATAACGTGGAGAAGAAGTTAATTATATGCTGACGGAATCGAGTAGAGAGCAACTTTCGTCACTCTCATAATTAAGTTTATAACCAAAATAATTTTAAGTGTTATCAATGAAATAGACTTTATGTACATGTAATTGAATAATGGTCAAATTGTAAAATTATGCTTTTTTGACAAAAAATAATAAAATTATGCTTGTTTTGAAAGTATAATCAATCGTAATTTGATTCTCTCTCTCTCTCTATCTCTTAAGTAATTCTTTTTTCACCTTTAATATATTGGACTAGGTTGGAAATATAAGCCACATTGTTTATAATTTTTGAATTGTTCAACTAGTTATTGATTTTATATTGTATTTATTTGACCAACATTGGTTTTAGGAAGAACTATGAAACACCAATTCTTCAAATTATTTCTTGTATGCATATTGATATCATATCCGATACCAATACTTCTTTAACATATATCCATAAAGTATCAAAATATTATTTTTAATTTAAAAAATAATTTTCATACATATCCGATATTTTTAAATTTTGAGTTGATATTTTAAAGCCAAAATTTCAAGTCTATTTTTAAGAAATCAAATTTTGTTACATATTGAAATATTACTTTTTTATTCCTCATATATTGTGATTTGTTTTTGAAGTCAAATATTAATTTTTTTTGTAGAAAATAAGTCTTAGATATGATAAAAAGATAAAGACTATATTTCTTCACTATAAAATGTCGAAATATAATCTTTTAACATATAAATCTTAAATATGGAATTATTAGTAGGGAAAAGGCAATAAATCATTAGGTATAGACAGAATAAAGGGAAAATCACATCTGAGAAACCTCTACAACAAATTTATCACCAAAAAAGGCCAAAAGAATATGAAATTGCTCTGCAGGGCTAAGGGATCAAAATGTAATTAAAATTTATGGTGAAAAGACAAAACTACCCCTCATATTTTTTTTTAAAAAAAAATCTCCCAATGTGATGGCCACAGGACCTTCCACCAGTGGTAGCCGAAGTTCCACATTAGTGACAATTAAATTTAATTTTTTAAGGTGGTCAAGGGTGGGTGGGTTTGAACCCCCAATCTCTTGGTCACTAAAAATATTAATAGCCACTAAGCTATTGATGCTTCTTAATTATATTGCACAAAGTTTCATATATTATCAACTTTGTTTTTACTTTCCCAACCACCTCTATCAAGAGTTTAATGGTTACTTGTCAAATTACTGACGGAGACTTGTTAAAAAATTTAATATGTATTGATTCTTATAAATGTTTACTTTTTTTACCAAAAGTTTACTAGTAAAAAATTTATGTGCATTTGTTATTTTAGTAAAAAATTAATTGTCAAATTATTAAGGGAACTTGTCAAAGTTAGTAAAGGAGACTTCTCATTTCATGAATAGTTACTTGACATTTCACAAATGATTACTTATTAAATTACTAATAGTAACTTGTTAAAAATTTAATTTGCACTTGCTTTTTATATTTTAATATGCAAATGGTTATTTATTAAGTTAGTA